ATAAAATCTTAAAAAAAAAAAATAGGAAAAATAATGTGGTCTAAAAAGCTGAGGAATAAGTTTTCACCTTTGGTTAAAAAAAAAAAAGAGGCAAGCTGAACCTTGAAGGATGAGCTCTATAGGATATGAAAGGGGTGATCACATCACCAAGGATTCAGGGTCTAAATTAAGCGATTTTGTGAGCAAAGCCACTCAAGGTGAGATGTCGGAACACTTCACAGACCAGACTGTACACAGGCACACACCAAAACACACTTACCAGCTCAGAGTGAATGATACGATTATTTGCAGACATGCAAAGTCTATAACTCTGCATGAATAGAACTATGCCATCCTAACTGTACAATCCCAAGATACAACTCTAGAATGTAATACTTATAATAAAATTAAACACAAAAATTAAGTGCAGTGTTCCAAGACTTAAATATGTATCAACCCAAAGTATTCCAGTGGTAACTCTCTCTTTATCACTAATATTCACAAGATTTAAAGTGCATCAGAAGTATCAATGAGAGCTAAATACACAACAATGAAACAGGCAATAATTACTCCTTAAGCTGAGATTTTAAAACGCTGTCTGACCGCATACAGCCCCTTTATTTCCATTCCCACATATTATGCAAAAAATACCTACCTATTCTTTAAAAATCCAAACAATATGATAGCTTAATACCAAACTCAAGTTCTGTGTATAATCTTTAAATGAGCAAAATACAGGCAATATAATGTTTTCTTCGTCCCCAAACTACAAATAATATGCCTATGCCAGCAGTAACAGTCAAATGAAAACAAATTTCACAGCCCTTAAAAAAATACGAAACTGTCAGTGTTAATATAAGGAAGTTTGCAGCTGGAAACACTGCTCTCTAGCCAAGGACAAGATGTATCTATTATAAATTCTTGGTTTGGGGAGATCCCTTAAATGACCAAAAAAAAAAAAAAAAATCAAATAATACTGTTTTTGCAAATATAATGCAAATAGCATGCTAATTAAAGTATTCACAAGACAAAGACAAATGAGGCTTTGGGACCACAGTACATATTATTATGTAACTACAATACACATTAAGCAATCACCAAGTTGGAGGTAGGCCTTCCAAAAGGAGTTATTATGGTTTACCATGATCAGAGGATTGTGGTGTTATACTTAATCACGTTTTTACCTGCAAGCAGGTGTTTACAGGTGTCAAAAAGTAAAACACTGATTCTAACTGTAAACTTCTAGTTCCAAGGAGTTGTACAGTACCCACCTCCCTGTATTTTCTGCATAAACTTTCTAATCCAGTATGAAGTGAGCTACATGAGGCAAGTTTCTCTGCATGCTTTAAAAACAAAAATTTAACTTGACTCATTTTTATTAAAATGCCAAAACTCACACCCTCAAGAACTAGACCTTGTTTCGATGGCCGTGAAGTAAAAATTTAACACTTACAAGGTACAAAAGAAATAGTGAGAGTAAAGCCTCTTTGGGGGATGTTACTATAATCTATTCAATCCTTCAATAAAAATATAGATGGCTCAAAAGTAAAGTTTAAAGGGTAACAATATTTAGTACATTTAGCAAGGAAATTACAGAAACCAATAACCAAGTAAACACAAAACAGTCATTATAGAATGAAATATAACATATAGAGAATATATATATACACACATATATAAAGAAAAGAAAGAATATAAGAGGCAACAGGGCATATGGGTGTCATAAATCAATGGATTTTCTGATTTCTGTCCTGCCTGCTCAAAAATTTCAGGAAGCCTGGCATATAATCATCTGAGCCCTCCCAAAGATGATGGTCTAAAGGCAACGCAAGCCACCTGACACCCCAGGGCAGCTCACAGAACTTCTGAGCAGTGAAAAGAAGGGCATAAATAAGAGGAGAGTAATGTCAGGAGATTTTTCAGGGAGTTGGAATTACAACTCTATAAATCTGTTTTTCAGGGCTGTGCTTAAACTGTCCACGGGAAAAGACTTGTTTTTCTACCCAGAGCAGAGATCCACATCAACAGCAAGCCAGAATACCCACCAAAGCCAAAGTGAGACTGAGGTCCCGTTACAACAAGCATACCAGCTGCCCTCTCTCCACCTCTGGTAGCCAATCTTGCATACATACCCACAAAATGCACAAAGGCATCCCCTAACCTGCCCAACTCCAAATCTACTGGAGGATGGGAACTGAAGGAAAAGAGAGACACTTGCAGTATTCCCAGTCACCTGAAATGGGAGAATTCCCTACTCTGAGGTGATGCATGGGCAAGATGGGGAATTTCAAAGTGAAGAAACCCTTCTTGCAGAAGAATCACTGGAAGTTCCTGGAAACAAAAATGGGCAAGGTTGCACCGCCCTAGGGTCAAGCTGGGACACTCCCACAAATCAGCCCAAAGGCCCCAAAGCCTCTCCAGAGGCCCATGGCAGCTGACCCACCCCCATCCCACCCCACCCCACCGGCAGGACACATTGTAGACAGTGGCCCAAAGATGCTGCCTCTGTGCTTACCTCACAGGTGGGGGACCCGCAGGCCTTGAGCTTGTCACCATCTCCCTCCGGTAGACCAGTCCGACGTGTGGCCATCATTTCATTTCAAATTACAAAGAAGGGACCAACCCTTTGGAGTCCACATTGGGGGGGGGGGGGGCGGAATGCCACCACACACCAAAAAGGGAAGAATTCCACACAAGGCTCCGAGGAGGTGCAGGGCTGGTGAAACAAGTAATGTGCCTGGGGAATGAAATGTTTTTATGAGGCCCCTTCAAAAACGCCCTGATTGATTTCTTCGGACTTCAACTGACTTCACCGTCTTCGTCCATTTCTCGAGACTTAAAAAACAAAGAAGACGGGTCTTCTTGGCAGCTAATGAGGCCAACTGCAGAAAGCGGTCCCCCTCCTCCTCCCAGCGCTACTCCGTGACCAAGAGGAATCTGAGTGGGTCGCGAAGGCTCGAGCGTCAGCTCCCAAAGAGATCTCTCCTGGAACAGGGAATAGTTAAAGGGCATGAACTTTCTCCAGACGCTGACCTTAGCCTTGCCACAAGTCTACACCAAGTTCGCGGTTCCAACACTTAGGAAGATTATTCGGTCCCTGCTGATGAACCTCACGCACTCAAAGAGGAAATAATCCTCCCAGACAAAACAGAAAGAAAAAAGGAAAAACCTATAAATCAGGAAAAAAAATGAGAAGCATCGGAACTGCACGGTGGTTGCGTCAAACACGCCTGGTTGGTGTGCAGCCTTCAGGAAAAAAAAAATTCCCTTTTCAAGTGCATTTTAATTAATGTATTTTCTGGGCAGTAGAGAGAGTGTATAGGCTCTTGGGCATCACCCAGATACGTACACTTAACGGAAGTTTTCTCCCCACGAGATTAAAATGGAATACTTTTCAAAAACCCTGCTCACTCCCCTACACCCCCCACCAAAATAAAAACAAAAAGCCAGCCTCGGAGGCGGGCAGCGCCGGCTCGGCCGGCGTTTGCTGGCGGGCGGGGTGAGTCTGGGCGCCCGCACCCGTGCCCCTGCGCCCGGAGGCTGCCCCCGAGGAGGCGGCTGTTTTGCTTGGCCCGCGGCGGGGCTGGGCGGGGAGGTGTGCGCGGCCGCGGGTGGGACCCGGGCGCAACTCCCTCTCCGGGGCATTATTCTGGAGCGACAGAAATGAAGCCGCAGCCCGGGCAACTTTTATTTACTTGCTGCTCCCCAAACTACCATTCGACACACTATCTTTCCCTTCCCCGGGGGCCCCCAAGGGAAAAAAAAAAAAAAAAAAAAAAAGGAAAAAGAAAACCACCACCCACCTACCACTATTTCCTCCGCCCCTTCCAGAGGCGGGTCGGTGATCTCGATCTCCCGGGAAGGGAGACCCAAATATGTACTTTTAAAACAAGGTGTCGGGAGACCCGGGGGAAAAACAAAAAACGAGGGGCTTACCCTTCCCAGCCCGCTTGGCCCAGGTTTCGAGGCGCGGCGGCGAGCAGGAGCGGGGACGCGGGCCGGGCGCCGGGCCCGGCCGGGACGCGCTAGGCCGCAGGCTCGGTTAATATTCATGAGCGGACGGGAGGCGCCCCTCCTCCACGGCCGGCCGGCCGGACCCCGGCGCCCGCCGCCGGCCTTTGTGCCCTTCCCTCCTTCCTCCGGCCCTCCCTCGCTCCGCACACGCGGGCGCGGCCCCTCCGCCCCCGCCGGGTGCCCGCCGCGGGCTCCCTCCGGCCCCGCGCCAGCGCCGGGCGGGGTGGCCTGAGGTGGCGGGAAGGGAGGGAGCCCGCGGCGAGCCGGGCTCTCCACCCGCCCGCGGGCGCTGAGCCCTCTCGGCTAAGGCGGAAAGTAAAACAGACACGCACCGGAGAAAGCGGGGGCGAGTGGATCCACTCGGGGCTGGCCGGCCCCAGGCAGCGCGTCCCGCACGCCCGGCGCGAGCCGGACCGAGCAGGAGGACGATCCGGCGCTGCCCCGCCGCCGCCGCCGCCGCCGCCGCCGCGCTCCGAGGCCGCCGCCCCCGGCCGGCCGCTCCCAGGCACCGCCGCGACCTGCCCCGGCCGGCCCCGGGCTCTCGGCCGCCGCGGGAGGGCGTGGGGCGGGGCGGCGGCCGCCGGACTCTCCCCTCGCCTCG